GTCCGGACACCGCCCCGCTGGCCTCCAGGGGTCTGAGCGGGATTCACAACTATGGCTTTCGTCTCCCCCTTTCTCATCTCCTGGGCAAACCTCGGGTTTGCACAAGCCACTCCAACGCTGCCCAGAGGGGCTTGTGAGGTGAGGCGATGGAGAATCCCAGGGCACCGCTCTCGTCCTGGCATCCCACAGCTCCGCCCGCGGTCCTCCACCTCCTCCTCGACAGAGGCCCAGGTGCCACGTCCTGGCTGGGACCCCGAGATGCGGCAGCATTGGGTTTTTCTGTGGCTCTGTTCCTGACGTCTTTTGCAGACTGCTGATCAACTCGGGCAAAAGAAAGTGAGGCCTCGCTGCCTGACAAATGTCCCTGGCTGCAAAGGGCAGCTCTGGGTGTCCCATGCATTGGTGCTCACTTCCCAGTCCATCTGGGGGCAGCACGGCCGGCCGGCACTTGGCCTTCCACACTAAGGACACGCGAGCTGGGTCTGCCAGGCCACTGCACCGCTGAGCAGGGACCTGGGGCCTGCCGGCCACGCCCACTCATTTACATATCACGGTTCCAGCTGAGCCCTCCAGGGGCAAAATGCACATCAGACCAATCAGCGACTTGCTTGGAGAGCCAATCAGAAGAGGCTCTTTTCAACCCTTCATTTGCATGTGGAAACAACCAATCAACAGGCATCTGACACCCAGGGGCACAACAGCAGGACAGGGGGCCTTCCTTAGAAACAGCATCCCACGGGCACCGGCGTCCCCCACATCGTGCTGGGTAGAAGGGCACCTCGTGCCTCAGTTTGGTGTCCCTCAGAGGCAGGCAGACTAGACACAGAGGTGATGGCACCCAGCAGCCGTCCACTTACATTTTGAGGGGCGTGGTGTGGGCACTTGGGCCCCCCTTGAAGGTCGGCGACCTCTAGGCCTCTGAGGGCTCCCCCTGCACCCTCTAATGCTGACCCAGAGTGGACCTGTACATCGCTTGTGCCTCCCTACTTCCTGTGGCCACCCAGTTACCAACAGGCACCTGAGACCAGGCACGGCCCCAGCCGCCAGGCCCAGAAGCCAGGAACATCACCACAAAGCACAGGAAGCCAGGAAGCTTGGGCGGGCACCCTACACACCCACCCAGCCCCAGCCAGCCCTGGTCCAGGACCAACCAGACCACAGACTTTGAAACCTCCTGAGGAAACCCAGAATGTAAACCATCTTAACCTTTTCCACTGATCACACAAGAACTGACTGCATTTTAGATGTGCTGGTAAATGACATGTTATTAGAATGGATGCCACCTGTTTTCCTTGTACTTAGAGGGAGCAACCAAGCATTTCAGGTTACAGATGTGGCTTACACTGCTAAGAGCAGCATCGTTCAGAACCAAGCTTGACATGGAAACCAGGGAGGGCTTCCTGGAGGAGGCTGCTTCTGAGCCAGCAAAGAACTTAGCACAGGGCCAGCAGCCTGCCAGGTGCCTGGAACTCTGTGTGTTTCCTAACTGGGTCCTCCACCATGAAGCCAGGGGCGCTGGGCCCTGTGTTACCGACAGGGTCTCCAGAGCTGGGAAAGGTCCAGTCCACCTGCTGACTTGAGGCCCCCAGTAACGAGTGGAGGTGGGGGTGCCCCATGCCCCGCCACGCTGCCTACTGTGCCCCAGAGAGCTTGGCAGCCTGCCAGCGCTTGCTACAGCTCGCAGGCTGGTGAGGTTAAAGTCCTCCAGGCCCAGGTGAGAAGCAGCCGGCACTGGGCACCCACAGGAAAAGCAAATCTCAGGGAGGCAGGGTGGCCACTCCCAGCCGAGGGGACTCAGGAAAACAGCGGCCAGCACAGATGTGTGCCCGCTGCCAAGCGCCGAGTCTCCCTGCTGCCCTCGTGCCCTCTCCCCTGGAAACGCCACACACCACGTGCACGGGCACCGGGAGCCCAGCAGGGCGGCACACATCACCCCCAGATCTGAGAGCACGGGGCTGAGAGCTGCTGGCTCCCGAAACCTGTGTCTGAAACAGAACAAGTCCCGAGCTGAGCCCCCGTCCGGGAGGGGCAGCAGAGGGGCTCCTTTAACACTGTCACCCGGTGTGTCTAGGATGTGTGTCGAGTGGCCACGCGTGTACACATGCACCTGTGTACACACACACGTACACAGGGCCTCCAGCCTTGTGAATCAGGGCACCGAGTTTACCGTTCAACACGAGGCCTTCGAGGTTCACAGGGCGCACCACAGAGACGGCAGCTGCCCTGCCTCCCGGCGCGGGAGGGACACACAGTCATTCTATGATTATTCAGCAAAATTCCAAATGTGCTGCTGCCAACTGCCCGGGCCTGCAGCACAGGGGCTGGTGAGGGTCCAGGTCCCCTGACCGCTAACTGCACCCAAACCAGTACCCACGCTGACCTAGGCACTGCCCCAGGCAGGATCCCGCTGGCACCCACGCCAGGAGACCGGGCAGCAGTCTGCCAAGGGCAGGAAGGAGCCCAGGCCTACGACCCAGTCCTCCCGTCCCCTCCTCGGGGGCCGAGGTCACATCTAGCCCATCTGTCCTGGCTCCTGGAAATCTGACCGGGCAGCTTTCTGGTGCGGGAATAATGGAGCCGCTCACCATGGCACAAAAAGGCAGAGCCGCTCTGGCTTCTGCGAGGAGCCCTGCCGGGCGGCTGTAATTTGCATTAATAATGAAGCGTGCTCATGAGCGCGTGTGTGAGATCGGGTTCACGTAACGCTCACCCCAGCAGGTCGGCTGCCATCCGCCAGGCTGCCGGTAAGTAATATCTGGGCACAAGCAGCCGGCCCACAGCTGAATCAATTAGGCCCGCTCTGGCTGGCAGACAGCTGTTGGGTCAACAGCAAGACAATTAGATGGACCAGTCATTTACCAGGTGGTTGGTAATGAAGGGATTAATTGACCAGGGCGGAGGCTGAGCAGCGGCTGCGCTCCGTCCCTCCCTTCTCCCTTGACAGTGCACACCAGGCCCAGCGCCGCCCGGGAGAGAGGCGGGGGCCACAACGGAGCCTCTCTGTGCCCGGCGGAAGGAGCCTGGGCTCTGCTTCTCCAGGGTCAGGGTGGCCTGAGGCTCTGTGCAGGATGGCGGCTGGAAATACAGGGACCTCCCCTGTGTAGAGGAGCGGAGGAGACCCCGCGTCCCAGTGGGGTCCCCGTGGGAACTGGAGACGCAGCCATCACCGGGACAGGCAGGAATCGGGGGCAGGCAGCCTCGGCACCTTCGCCTGCCCCTGGAGAGACGGGTGATGGGCCCCAGGAGAATCGGGGACCGTGGGTTCCCCACACCTGGCAGCCACAGCATCACCAGTGTGCTCTGGGGGATATCGATGCAGCCATGCTGGCCATGCCCACCTGACACCCCATTTTAAAATGCCCTCAGCAGACCCAGAACACTCCCAGTGCTGGGAACCAGGGACCAAACCCCACCCTCTCATCTCAGATGCGGTACCAGGGCCAAGGGCGAGGGGAGCCAGCCTTAGGGAGGCTCCCTGGGTAAGAGGTGGCCGAGCCGGAGGCAGAGCAGCTCCAGGAGCCCTACGCTGCCTCCTCTGAGCCCCTGGAGATGGTGACTGGGGCACCAAGCCCTGTGGATGGGTGGAGAAGCCCCTGTCCACCTGCTGCCCGCCAGCCCTTCCAGGCCCTCTCTAAACCATGCCCAGTGCCACGCCGGCCCCAGGCACAAGCACCAGGGGTTTTCTGAACGTGCCACGGGCTCTCGGTGTAGACCTCACCCCTGCTGTTCTCCTGCAGGGATGCTTTCCCTGTTCACTGGTGCACACTGAGCATCTTCAGAGCTCGCCTCAGGGGCCGCCTCCCCACCTTGGCAGCTCGGAACTCCTGGGACAGCCCCGGCCGGCCGCACGAGCATTTCCCTTGTGTTTCCCCCACACTGCGCGGGCGCCTGCCCCCTGCTTCCTGTCAACCTCTGTGGAAGAAGGAAAGGGTGGCGGGCGGTGCTGACGTCTCCGCCTCGGGCTACTGCAAGCTGTTCCTGCTCTAAGACCCTGAATCAGTTCCGGCCATCTGCGTGTCCCGGGGTGTGGCAGCCTCGGTGGAGTTCTTGGTGTTGTCGCTGCAGCCAAGGGACGCAGGCTTACCCGGCCTGGGCCCAAGATCAGGTTCCCAAGCAGCAGGTGACCATGGGATCCCGCATCACGTGCCCGAGCCTCGGTCCTGCCCTGGGAACTCCAGGCCTCGGCCTGACCCACTAGGAGGGAGAAAATCCTGGAGAGATGCAGCCCCAGGTGGTCACCGTCCTGCAACCTGGCAGGGCTGGACAGGCTAGCTCTGGCACCCACCGGGGAGCCAAGTGATGGGGGCGAATTGCTGAGCGCCAGTCAAGTGGACAGTGGCGCCCTTGATGAGCTCTTGGTGTGGCACAGATTTGAGGAGGCAATGGGGCTGCAGCTCTGTGGGAGGCAGACGGCCCGACCAGCTCCTGTGTGCATGTGACAAACACCTCTTCTGTCTCCCTTCTGTGTTCCTCCCAGCCCCTCCCCGTGTCTCCTCCTGAGCTCACCTGGTGGAGAAGGAAATGCCCCCCAGTACACGGGGGCTGGGCCTGCTGTGCCCTGCACAAAGCCAGATGAGCTGCCTATAAATCCATGGTCACCCGGGCCACGCCCCTGGGGACCCGATGATCACAGGGCATGCACAGTGCTAAAGAAAGAGCAGGCGGGCGCGGCAGACCGCATGCCCCAGGCGCCCGAGCGAGGACAGGGTGGGCACAGGGCAGGGACAAGCGGTCTCGCCCTCAACACCATTCAGGACCAACTAGGCCCCACACACGCCCAGCAGCAGGGCTCAGCTCCATGTGTCTGAGCCCAGCCCGGTGCCCACAGCTGTGCCCGGCCCACAAACTCGCAGCTGGCAGCTCTGAACTCTCAGTGACTTGGTGCCAGCTGATCTGATCCACAATTACATTTTATTTTGGGGCCAGGGAGACAGCCGAGAACTGGGAAAATTATAAGACATCACAGGGCTGTGCGGCTAAGAATACCAGCTGCAAAGCTGTTTGTTTTTAATAGACTGTTGTTTTAATGGTTAGAGGTTTGCAGGACACGAAAATAAGATTCTGGACACTAAAATTAGACGATAACCAAGCTCCCCAAGGGAGGCTGAAGCCTCGGTCTGGTGAAAGATCCAGGTTTGCTTTTGGTTTTCGAGGGGGTGGGGCGATCCATGCAATAGGACCTCGCCAGCGGCCGACGTGACCCTGATTTGCAGCTTGACCCTCAGCCCAGTGAGGCCTGGGTCGCTGTGTACAATCACCGGCTTCAATTTCCCGTGCACAGCCTGAGGAGGCGACAGCAGCTCAGTGTGCCCACCAAGGGCCCATCGGAAGTTCCCAAACAGCAGGCGCTGGGCCAGCACCGAAGAAAGGCAGGCGGACCGGGCTGGGCAGCTGCTATGGGCAGAAAGTGACTTCAGAGGCACCGTCCCTGACCGCCCAACAGGTTCCTCATCCTACAAATAAGCTCAGGCTCCTGTTCTTACCGGCCCATATCGGACCCAAATAGCCAGGCCCAGAGAAGGAGAACCTCATTTCTGGGACTGTCCAGCGCCCAGTAGGCTTGGAGCATCCGTCGTCTGCCTCTGCCAAGGCATTCCTGGGCTCAGTGACTGGGGAGGACCGATGGGGAAGTTCAGGGCATCCAATTAATGTCCACCAGGGTCTCACGGATGCAAAACTAACTCACTCCGGGCCTCTCGGTTCTGGCCACATGGCTCTGAGCTCCCTGACACAGCTCCTGCAGAGAAGGCCACGTGGGGATCTTGCCAGGGACTGCAGCTTGTCAAGGAAGCTGCCTGAGGAAACCCTCCAGGCCACGCCCCGAGGAAGCAGGTGGTCCTCCCCAGGGTGTTCCCCGGCTGGCAGCGGGAGGGGCTGGAACTGTGCCCGGTGACAGTGGCTACGCCCACCTACACCCTCCTCAGCAACCCCGGCACCACAGGAGCCCCTCACCCAGACACTGTGCCCAGATGGCCACTCTCCTGGCTGCTCACAGGGACAGCAGCTGGGGCCGACCTCGGCAGACACCAGGCTGAGGACCGGGAGGAACTGGCGAGGACGGGGGACCTCAGTTCCCTCCGCACTGGGGGCCTGCACCGCGCTGTGGGGGGCAGAGGGGTGACGGGATAAACCAGGAAGCACAGGGCTGCACAAGGCCCGTCATATCCAGGGAGCCAGAGGGGGCACGGAACCAGCCCCAGTCACACAGCAGGAACAGGGATGCCAGGTCTGACTCCGCAGTCCAGGCTTCCGACGTGGAGGTCACCTTTGTGACTCTATCAGCGACCTCTTGCAGAACCCCTGACTTGGCACCCTGACTGGATCCTCCCAACATTCCAGCGAGGTCCTGGCTGGGGAACTGACACCCGAGCAGGAGGTACCGATATTCCAGGTCGCACAAGTAGTTACAGGAGAGCAGGACTCCGCTCTTCGGATCAGGGCCTGGGGTGCCAAGGGCACGGCCCCGCACAGTGCTGGGAAGATGGCACGGAGCAGCACCTCCCAGCCAGACCAGGGGTCACGGCAGACACAGCTCTGCCCGGACACCCAGCATGGTCCCTAAACGCAGGACGTCGGCAGGTTGTCAGGGAGCAGCCCAGTGGTCTCACGTGGCCCGTGGAAGTTCCTTAGATGGTCAGCGCCCACAGAGCGGGCATGTGCGGCGGCAAAGATGCAGTATAACAGGCGGGAGACTTGCCTGAGCGGCCAGAGCATGCAGGCACCGAAGGCGACCCTGAGCTCGGATTCCCTGCAGAGTCACAGCCTCGGGCAACACCAAGCCGCAAGTCCCCAGGTGCCTCTGGCTGCTCCTAGAGCTCTGCCAGGAGCACCGGGCCCATAGTAGGCAGCGGAGAACCCAAGCGACAAGTGAGCAGAAGCCTCCACATGGCTTTAAGAGCTCAGCACTCTGGGGCCCGGCACTGAGCTCCAGGTCCCCAGTAAGGAAACCAAGAACCCCACACCCAGGTAGGCTTGGTCTACAAGGCCACACCCCTCCCCACCGCAGCTGTCCAGTGTGGGAGGGGCTGCTGCTAATGGCTCCCTACAAATACTAATTAACACCTCCAGCAAGCTCCACACACAGCATGCAAGCCACACGTGGTTGCCACGCCAACCAGGCCTCCTACCGTGCTCCTTCCTGGGAGATTTTCCTCTGTGCCAGCAGCACCTCACTCCCTGAAGTGACCGCGACCATCACTGGGCTGTGAGTCCACCCCCACACACACACACAGTGGCACACAGTGCAGCTTGCAGGGCACTGGCGGGCTGGGATTGTTCCAGATGTGAGCCGGGTGCCACAGGTACCCACGCAGGAGCCTTGGGGTCACAGCATGGCCCAGCGGGCTCTTCCAGCCGGGTCCCACAGCCACGACCCGAGACTGCACAGATCTCAGGGGCCCGAGCCCCTGGAGCGCCTGACTGTGTCACCCAGTACCACCGAGGCAGTTCCCCAGACGCTGCCTGCTAGAGCTTCAGCAACACTGCAGGCCGAGGGTCCCTAACCCACGCCGGGCCAGAAGTGTTTTGCACGGTGGATTTTTCAGACTTCGGAGCAAGGTGCCCCAGGAACGGGACTCAGGGCCCCTCTATGCAGCAGCGGGTAACTGGGTGTGGCATTTCCCGGGTGCCTGCTTCCAGGTGTCACCCACCATGAACGTCTCACTTGGAGCAGAATCGCTAGTGAAGAGTTAGGAGTGTTTTGGGCTTCAGGGTTTCCGTTTAGGGGTGCCCAGCCTGTGTGGCGGTGGGGAGACGAGGAAGGTGACCACTGAGGGTCAGAGGCTGGAGGCGGGAGGAAGTTTCGAATCCCCCAGAAGTCAATTTGGCAGTTTCTCAGCGCCATGCCACCCCCCCACCACCACCAAGTGATACAAAGGGACAGAAGTCCGGGGCTTACCTGGATGGGGTTGTAGAGCTCCTGCAGGGGGCTCCGGGACCCCTTTCGGCAGCAGATGTCCACACCGAAGGGATTCCTCCGCATGACTGAGGAGAGAAAGCAAACCTGTCAGAATGGTGCCACAAAGGTTTGTTGACTGACAAAGAAAAGGGCAGGAAACTGACAGAGGGAGGCAGAAGCAGGCAGGAAGGAAGAGAGACGGCGCCTAGTGCCAGAGCCGTGCCCGGTAGCCGGGCGTCCACCCGGGCTCCCCCGCGTTCAGCCACCCGCACAGCCGGGGTGGCATCCTTCAGCGTGTGCGGAACACAAGGGTCACCTCCGGGAAGGCGCTGGCAGTGACCCGAACACGCCTGGCGCTGCTGCCCTTCCCTTCCGCCCTCCTCCTCCATCGCTTGGAGAAAGGCCTCCCCCCTCAGGAAGGGCACGCAGACAGAGGAGCCGGGCGGAGCCAGACACCCCCAGCCGAGGGACGCCCCGAGCCCGGGAGGCTGCTGCCGGAGCACCACACACAGCTCCAGGGAGCTGGCTGTAGGCGTAGGCCGAAGCAGGACACTCCACTCCAAAGACCGGGGAGGGGAGGCTGCAGGAAGTGCGGCGGGCGGCGCACCCTCACCCCGGGGCAGCGCGCGGTGGCGTGGTGAGGCAGACGTGTGTGCACCGCCCAGCACCTGCTGCACACAGCCCTGTGATGGCCACAGGTTCAGCCCCCTCCGCCCCTGCACTGTGTGGACTGACTATGTGACAGCACCGCCCCCCCCCCCGCCCCCAGGCGGCAGCGCCAGGCCCCTCCGACGGCTCCATGCATCACGTTACTTTCCGTTAACAGCTTGGGGCAGCAGGGTGGAGGGCTGCGGCTCTGGACAGAAACGGGGTGAAGGGGTCGCTGCAGGATCCCCAGCCCGGAGGCCGGCCGGAACCACGGCTCAACAGCGAAGGACGCTTCCTCCTCCTCACTACACAGACGCGGGTGGAAGGGGGCGAGGAGCGGAGAGGTCGGGAAGGCGGCGGGGGAGGCAGGAAAGAGGGAAGGGAAGGTGGGGGGGGGGGAGGAACCGGGGCTCCTTCTCAGCGAGGAGCAGCTTCCCACGGAGCAGCTGAGGGGGCGCATGTGAGAGGAGAGAGATCCTCTCCTGAGGATCCGTCTGCACCTCACTCATGCCCTGCAGCAGAGGCCGGATCACCCCACATCACGCATGCAACGCCTCATTCCCACCAGCAGCCGGCCTTGCACTGGAGGTGATCCTCCTGCCTCGGCTTCCTGGAGGGCTGGACTCCCCGTGCGCACCACCACACCCCACTTTGATTTTTTTTTTCAACTCCTTGACAAAAATCAGTGGTGCCCTGAATTAGGGCCGCGGGTTGGAGCTGGCTACCCCTGCTTTGAGGGCCCCAGTGTCCTCGGGCGGGAACACAAGCTAGGGGTGCACACACAGCCCGCAAGCCCAGCAGCCTTCCGGGCGAGCAGGGACCTGCAGGCGAATGTCAATACATAACAGCCAGCAGGACAGGGTTACGCTGTCCCCAGAAACACTGCCTCCTTGTTTCCCCTGCTGCTGCCCCAGGAGGGAAAAATATATCCACAGGTTCCTTGTGTTTTTCTTTAATTTATTACTTCATTTTTCATTTCCACCAAAAGGGAGGTAAACCGTTACACGCACGTGAGTTACCCTCGGTGCACAACGACATAGCAACACTGGGGGAGAAAAACACCTTAAACTTGTAAAACTCTGCCTGGGCGGTAGGAGGTTAAATCCCCGGGCAGCAGACCACTCATCGAGACCGAGGCTGTGCGTCGGCCCCGGCAGACTCCACCAAGAGCGGCTTTTACGGGGCAGTATTATTTAATTGGTTTATTTTTCTAATATGAGACTTTTTAAATGCTCTGACCGCGTGGGGCCTGCGCTGGGGTCCTCAGCCTGCAGCCCCGCTGGGGACTCCGGCCACAAACCCAAAGCGAGGGACCCTGTGCGCTTCTCAGGCCACGACAACCTGCCCTTCCCAGATCACCCAGGCCGGCCTCCCTGACCTTCAGCCACCTGGCCAAAGGCGCTGGGCAGTCTGTGAACCCAGGGCCACTGCTGAGGCCATGAACCACTGAGGCAGGTCCGGTCCCCCACGGTGCTCCTCAGCAGGACCCAAGGGAAGACGGAAACCCCGAGTCCTCCACATCACCCCACGCTGCAGAGCCCGCACCGATCACCCCGGCACATTCTCGGATTTGCTGGCGGGAAGGGACGGGAGGCCAAGGGCCTGGAGCTCCCATCCTGCAGGGTCATCATGCAGGGGCTCAGGTCGGGGTCCTCGCAGGCCTCAGACTCAGGCTGCAGAATAAGCAACCCGCTGCCCAGCTCCATGCACCCCAGGGATGCTCAGGGTTTTCACGTGACAGCGCAGGGCACCTCTGGCGGCTGGTACTGGGTTAGGGCCCCATGTGACCCTGGGATGTCAATTTACAGGGTCTCTGCTGACTGCTGCATAGTCAGGTTTGCAGGGCAGCTCTGGAGCCCACGTGTTCCCTGAGAGACCCATGGAGGCTCGGTGACCAATGCCCATCCCGTGGTATCCACAGAGCCCTGGCACCAGGACCCTTGCGAGCACCAAAATTCACCAGGACTCAAGTCCCCTGCAGAAAATGGCACCAAATTCGCATAAAATTGACACTCTCCAAATACTTTAAATCACTGCTAGAGCGCTCATAACAGCTAATGCAACATACACGCTGTGCAAATCGTTCTTAAACTGTATTTGTTGTTTTTGTTTTGAGACAGGGTCTCACTGCGCAGTTCAGGCTGGCCTCGAACCCACTATGTAACCCAGGCTGACCTCAAACTCATGGCGATCCTCCTGCCTCAGCCTCCAGAGTGCGGGTATTAGAGGTGGGCACCACCACACACAGCATATTGTCCAGGAAATAATGTCACGGAGAAAATCGGCACACGGGCAGTACAGATGCTGCTTTTCTTCGTTTTGTTTCTGGGTGTTTTGCACGTGCAGCCGGTGGACCCCACGCACGTGGGACCCATGTTTGTCCCACAGGACTCTGAAGCAGCGGCCAGGAGGGCTGAGTGACCCACCCTCCCCAGGCCGGATCTGGGGCGCATGGACGCAGGAGGCCCGAGCACGGCTCAGCGTGATCCGGATGTCACAGCGTCTGTGACAGCGACAGTCACTTCCGCTACATTCCGTGGAAACACCGGTGGCCCTTTGAAAATGAAAGGTCTGAGGACCCAAACCCCGGAAACAGAACCTGAGGACGCTGCGGCTGCTTTTCTCCACCCGCCCACGTGGCGAGCTCTATGTACACGTAGCTTCTTGTTTCCTTTCCAAACTCACTGGAGTCAGACAGTTCTTAAAATCTAATCGGCTCCACTCAGAGCGCGACTTCTTGGGCCAAGAGAGCTTCACGGAGTCCCAGACGATCAACGAGCCGGCGTGTCGGCCTGCTGCTGTCCTGAGAATCCTGAGACAGAAGGAGGCACAGGTCCGGCTCCCGGCGTGGCCACCACACACCATGAGCACCTACGCGGGACAAGGCGCCTCAGGATGGGTCAGGGTCCCCCGGCCACAAATCCAAACCCCGTGATGGTCTGAAGCCGGAGGCTTTTCTGAGCATCACGGCGCTCAAAGGTTTCAGATTTTGGGTTTTGGGACCAGATATTCTCAATCGCTAAAACCTGGGTAAACATTAGGAAACCTGACACCTGGAACACTCTGGTCTTTTGACCGTTTTGGATCGAGGACCCTCGACCTGTGTCCCCGGAACAACGCAGCCTGGCAGCCACTCAACAGCACTTGTGTCAGGTACTGTACGTCCCCAGGAGAGAGGACACACCCAGGAGGACTTCAGGAGTTAGACAGAAACGCTCCGCCGTGTCACGCAGAGCCCTGAGCAGAGGGATGTGTTTTCCAGAACCAAGCCCCACGCGTACTGCTAGAAAGATAACAGAACAGAAGGGTCCCCCACAAGCTACGACAGGCGGAGCTAAGCCAGGGGCATCCTTAGAACCAACCTCTGGCCTCTGTGACCAGCCCGGGCCCGTATTTCTTCCAGGAGGGGATCGGGGTCAGGACCTCCGGGAGTGACTCAGTGTGGGGACCAAGACACAAGGCTGAGGGCGTGGCAGGGCTCCGACTGCAAGGCTGCTGCTTCCCCGTACCCAGAGGCACAGAGCCACCGGGATCCCAAGCTCCTCCCCTACTGAGGAGAGGGAGCGGAGGTCGGCACGTCCTACCTAGGACACAGAACTTCAGAAGACACACAGGACCCGGGATCTTGGTAGGACTTCATTTTACCCAGTGAGTCCATGGGGCCTTGAACCCAAACTCACATTTGGAGTCGCAGGGGTTTGTGACCCATACCCGCCACTCCTGCTCATTTTGCAGAGGGTAAAATGGCCCAGTGAATGGACAGAATGGCCAGAGGCCCCACGGTATGGCCAGTGCAATCCCCCTAGTCCAAGTCTCAGCAGCCAAGCCCCCTGGTGCCAGTCATAATGGCCCCTCTTCTCTCCACCACCTAACTGTTGTAAGGACTCAGCACTCAGCCATAGGGCCTCAGGGCCTTTGCATCACTTAACAGAAATAAAACATAGGTCCAATAAGATTTAATCAGCAATACTGATGCTGAGGGCACTTAACCAATAGCAAGGGAACAAAGAAGAGACGTTAGTTAGCTCTCTCCTGCCTCTTTCTAGCCAATTCTTCCTCAAAACGTTTCATCATCCTTCTTAGCCAGAGTGGTTAAGACAAAGACATCGGGCAGAATCAGTACGACATGCTGTCCTGGGCCGTCCTGGGCCGTGTAGACAGCAGCCTCAGTTCTCTTCCCCCTCTAGTCTTTGCGATCACACTGGATGGAGGTGGCCTCACACCCATTTCAAAGTCAAGGAAACGGAGGCTCGGAGAAGCCGAGGAGCTAAGTCAGTGATGCAGCAGCAGAGCTGAGGTCCACCCCCCAAATCACGTTCCCCCCTCTCGGGTGCCGGGACCGAAGG